AACAAACCAAAGTCATCAACGCCTCTTGGCTGCTGGCGAAAGTGTGGCTCGGTGGCTGTGTGGGCTATCATCATTTTGAAAACCTTGGCAAATAATTTGAAAAATCAACAGAGAAATTCAAACGACGTGTCTCGTCGCCCGTCTGCCCAAGGACAACGATTTGTGCCAAATAGTAGACTGCAAATTGCGCCAAAGTTGATGTTGCGCCCTTCTTCTACTACTCCTTGTTGTGTTTAGCCTTGAATATTTGACGCTAAAGTCAGATTTGGAAAACATACTTTTGCCATTTTCGAAAATCACACTTGAATTCGTTCGCCGTTGGTATTGTTATTGTCGTCCTTGCAGTCGCCTTTTTGGTTGTTTGTGTATTTTGTTGCTACTTGAGCAGTGAAGTAGATGAAAGGCTTTTGGTATTGCCAGTGCGTAGACCTGAGTGTGGGCAAGGTTCAGGGTTCAGGGTTGAGGGAGCGGAGCGGTAGCGGGAAACCGCTTGCTTGATGTTTATTTATCGCAGCGTGTGCGGCTTTTTTACTCTAAGCCCGTGTAGCTTCTCAGCTGAAGTATGTTTGTCAATTGAAATGCTAGACAAAGTATCTATAGACCCACACGATGATGTTGTTGAAGTCTGTGCACAGATAGATACAGGGCATAGACACAGACGACTGTATCGAAAGCTTGGCTGAATTTAAAGGATGGTATATTTTGTGGCTTTAAAATGACGCATTGCGCTTTTGAATACGGGCTTCCTTAGAGCAAAAGTTTCGATCGAATTTCAAATATATCTATTAGCAGGAAATTCCTGAAAGTACCAGATATCGATTCTAAAATACTTTCAAGTATTTACAACACTTTGAAAATTGAAGGTAGAAACGGCTTTGGTTAATCTACTGCAGTCTAGAATTTGTATTTTATGATTTAAACAGAGGTTAAAGCTTAACATAAATAATTAAACAGTGATTGCAGACAGAAAATTTGCTGATTTCGCCAAATGTGTAATAATTAAAGTTTTTGTGACATAAAACGAAATGATTGAAAAAGTCAATGTATTTTTGCAGTCGGCAGCTTAAATGCGCATAAATGCCGAATGGAAATATTGAAAAGCAGCAGCAGCTACAGCAGCAGCAGCAGGAGCAGCAACAACAGTGAGAATCGTACGAAATGTACTTTGGCAGCTAACGAAAATTTTGTGCTGAGCGCGTGAAAATTAATTAAAATATTCCTGTAACTGCCAAACGCCGCCGGAGCATAACTGAATTTTAATTGAACGCAATCAATGCGAATTTATGGAGTCCGCTCAACTCTTCCCAAATACCCCTTTGGGCAGCCCATGACAGTTAAGCAGTTTGTCGGTCCTCTAAAGCTTTTTGCAATTGGTGTTAATTTGCCTGTGAGAAAATATTAAATGGAAAAATCAACTTTACCTTTAGCTTCAATTCAATGGCAATATTTAAATGTGTATGGATAAAAAACAGCCCAGACCTAAATGAGGGTCAATAAAGGCGTAATTAAATTTAAGGAATTTTAACGTGACAGCACTTTGGTGAGGTGCGTATCTTTTGTAGAGGGTCTTTTTATTCCACAGAGTATAAGCCAATAGTAAACTCTAAGGCCACTTAAAATTGTGTTGACTAATCAAGTGAAATTCTCTCTCCCAGATGTTGATTTTCAACACAATTCAAATAAGGCAGTCAAGTGTGTATAAAACAGTCAACGATCGATTATAAACAAGTCTGCAAACTGGGTTTGAGCTCAGAGTTAGAATTTATGGTTAATCATGAACCGAACCCTTGAATATCCGATCTTTAACCAGAATAGAGTCGATATTGAATTGAATAGGTGAAACATAGAAATTTACATGTTTTGCATGATTACAAATATGTGAATGTAATAAATATAATTTAAAATAAGTTGAATTGTTCTTGTTGTAGAAAATGACAAGATTTAAACCAAACCAAAACCCTCAAGGATTAGGAAAGCATAAGGCGAGGCATTGCAAACCGAACCAGCGAACATTTTTGTTGTGTCTGCAGCTTTTAATAGAAATCTTGTGTCCATTTAATTCTAATTTGTTAATGGGATGTAAATTGAAGTATAAATTCACCTTATGCTGTTTTGTGTTTACAAATTTAAAAAGTCTTAAAGCCCTTCAATTTATGAAAAACAACTAGTGCGTAAACTAAGGTGTAATAATGCAGTGCAAATATCAATAACTGTTAAAGGGAGATATCTGCTCATCATCTGCATTGTAAGCTCCAAGGTAAAAAGACACTTAAGCTTCTACTTATTTTGGAATGCTTTACGTTGTTCGTGGTACGTAAATAAAATGGCGTCTCTATGTGCTTTAGCAATATTATGCATGTAAATGCAATTAAATAGATTACACATTTGTATATCAGATTGTTGCAGTTGCATATTTATTTGGATTTTAAAGCCTGGCAATGCGGTGAAAAACGAAAAATTCGATTCCAAAGAGCAGAAACAACCATGGCATAGGCGAAATGAAATAAATCGGGTAGAGAAAATCAGTGTGACAGGAAGAAACAATTTAAGCACGTTGGACAGGATAAGCCGTTGGGCGTATTAGTGTCTGAAACAATGCAGTAATGCACACAAGCTCACACACACACACATACGCACATGTATATGTGTATGGTTACACGGATGGCACTGCAGTTTACACAGTTTGAGAGCGACATGGTCGTAGATTCTGCAAAAAGGATTTCGGAAGCAAACGAACCGAAAATTGTACACGTCGACTATGAGAAAGATGAGAGCGAGCAGGATGACAATGAGAATGGCGACATTTTCTAATGCAATTGTTTTTCGACAAGCTGCGATGGAGCGAGTGTGCGTTGTATGTGTGTGTGTATCTGTGTAAAAGGCTGTTGAGTGTGAGTATCTTGCAGATTGCTATGCCTGCATTTGTATCTCTCTTTCTCTCGCTTTTTAAGTGTGTGTGTGTGTGTGTGTGTGTGTTTGCGAGTGTGTGTAATTGATTTTATCGGTCATGTTAATTTTGATTAAATATGCAAATCGACGATACAAATTCGCATTTCGCACACACCCACCGCATACCGCATTCATTCACACACACTCCCACACGGACACACATTCAGACACTCCGATGAATGCAAAGCTCAAGCGGGAGACACGTGCAACCCAGGCCAGCTGAAAGGTGGATTACCTATGGAGGAGCTCTCAGCCAGCCTTGGCACCCCCCCATTGACAGTTATTATGTTACGGTATTATCTCGTTATTTATGCAGCAGATGACAAATGCAATTTGTTGTTTGCACACGGGAGCTGCTGCACTGTAAACTGGCAATAGGCAATGGCTGACGTGCGACGGGAAACGGGCAACGGGCAATGGCCATTGCGCAACTGGCAGCCAAAAATGGATGCAAGGACATGATAATTTCCAATCATTTGAATAATCTCCTCCAGGCAGCAGCCCGTGTCTGTGTCCACCGTGCCCAGTGAAAATATTAGCTTAAGAAAATGTCTAACGAGCTCTACGTGCTGCTGCATGCGAAGGTGTCCCTGCTGCGGCTGTCGCTTGTGGGCGTTTTGCGATGTGGTGGGCATGGTCTATTAGCTGCAGTGGCAGTTGGTTGACTTTGCTGCGGTTTTGGGTATTGATTAAAACTTTGGCATTTGCGTTTTGGTCAATGTGCACGAATGACACGAGATGCATCGGTAATTGGCAATCGTATTTCGGCAACTTATTGCCAGAGGTCGGTATTGAGAGAATTAATAACATGAATAACACATAATATGAGAAATTAGCTAAACGGTAAATATTCTAAGTAAATTACGAAATGTTTATCAACATTTTTGGAATCATTTTAACTTTGGTGCAATTTCCCCCTAAACTACATGAGCTCACAAGAACCCTAGAAAGAACTTCATTGACGTTGTACTATCTCTGCTGTGTAAGCTGTTTACCAATGTTCAAATTCTAATCATAAATCGAAATCACTTGTTTAAAGTGGCACACACAAACACCAATATATATATGTACATATGTCCGGCGACCACATCGTGTATATGTACTTGCTCACAGTGCGATATATCTTATCTGGGCTATAAACGTCTCTAAATTAAACTAACTTTTTTCGACGAATGCATATAATATAAGTGGAATGGGTATATAAATGTGGGTCGCCGACTTGAAAGAATGCCACGTACAGTCCCAGTCAAGTGTCCTAGGTACTTGCTTAAAAATAGAATGTGAACAATAACTAAACAGGGAAATTTCTTGGGTTGAAACAAGGGTTAAAGTTGATTGATGAATGGTATTGGGTATAAAGCTTACGATAGCGATCGACCTTATATGTATATATATTTCTTAATATTAAAATTTCAGTGATTGATAGATTGTATCAATCTTGAATAAAAAGGATTATTGAACTTGCTAAGCATCTTCAAAATATTGTAGGAAATGTAGTTTATTTCGTAGGGTATTTACGATTTGGTATTTCCGGAATTTGTTCACTCCCCACAATAAAGAACTCGGTTGCACATGGTGTTTAAAAACTGAAATAGAAATAGTCATAAGGCAGCTCTAATTGCCACAGAGCTTGACAAATGATGTTGGCTATATGACTGCCTTGCACAAAGGTTAGCTGCAGGTTGACTCCCTTTTTGATGGCGGCTGGAAAATGTTACAATTGTTGCCTACAGCTAAAAATGGCACCCAGCCGACCTGCTGACAAAACAGACTGACAGTTGAAACGACTGCAAACGGTTGTTCCGGACAACCCCGACTGCCCGACTGCCCGACTGTATGTATGTGTGTGTGCGTGTGTTACCCCGAGTGTGTGAATGGTGCCATTAAACGATTTTTCATTGCAGGCTGCAGGCTGCCGCAGGTAAAATCTGCCTGTTTGACTTTTAGCGGTCTTCGACCTCATGAAATAGCGGTCGACTGTACTTTAAACTGCTGCAATTGAATATTTTTACTTTGTCTTGAATCAGTCCGGAAATTGAAAATCATCTTACCTGTGTGCATTGGTGGGCGACAAGAGCGGAAATTATTATTTCTTTATCAATGGCTTTTCACCAGCTCTCACCCACTTTTCCAGGTTCTTTGTGAATAGTGAATAGTTAGCTCGGATTTTTGTGCCCCATCAGCCTCACACCTTTCTTCAGTTCCACTTCCAGACTTTCAGCCCATTACAAAAAGGTAATGAATTGTCCGAGACCCAATCAAGCCCCCACTTTGCAACGACATTTGTGCATTCATTATGCAATCACAACACGTACTTTTTAATCAATCTTACGTGCAAATATGTTCTCGAAATGCTGCAATACCCAAAAGGGATTCTTGGAAAAGATGGGCGACTCTGTGGCCTGTCATTTGTGGAATTTAAATGATTTCTCTGAAATGTTAAGTTTTGCATTATTGATTACTCAACTGTAGTTATATAGTTTAAAAACCTGGTTGGACTGCGCAGAAATGCTCGCTTGCATTTCCAAAAATTGAAAATTTGTTATTAAATTATCGGCACAAAAACATAACATAACAATTATTGCTGTTGTATTCAAACATATATATGTCTGTAAATGGGTATTTTATCCATTTAAAGTAGCAGTATCTTCACCTGACATCCCACTTCAAGCGTTCCCCAAAAAAAACAAAGTCCCCATTGTCCCACTTGGCTGCTTGTGCACAAAAAAAAGTTTGTTTGCACGATATTAATAATACCTCTATAGAAAGAACTGAAATCGCAAAATTATCGCCAATTCACACATTGTTTATTACAAATGATGTCCCGTTTGTCCTGACTTTTGGTTGTTGTTTGTTTTTAAAACACGTATACATGTGTGTATTGCAGACACTATTGATGATGTGTTTTATTTGAGAAACATTGAATTTCATATTTAATATGACTAAATAATTAAACATGATATTCAATTATTCCACCAAGGATGGATTTTCTCACAAGTGTGATACATTTATAAAAAAAAAGCACAGATCTTTGAAAATTTGTTTTTTATAAACAGTTTAACCGGCTTGAGCTTTCCTTAGCCCCGTCTTTTTTTCGATCCTGAATAAAAAACCTGTAACCGCCGTGTTTGGATCACCCTTAGTCAGTCAGTGGTACAGACCAAACTGTTGAAGGTATATAAATATTTAAATACATATGTATACATATTAATGTTCTGAGAGTGTCGAGTAAAGATATTATAAACATATTCATATTATAAATGTGTGATTTGAAGAGTGTAAAAACAAATTACAAGCATGACAAATAAAATGCTTCACAAATTCTCAAGTGGATTCAATACCAGTATGTTTTAGCCTGGCGCCATCATTAAAACGTTATAAACGGGGTGAATGTCATAAATTGATAATATTTTTAATTGGGCATATTTTCTCAGAATAAAAAATGAACTCAAATCTATTATTACTAAATGATTCACCTATTAAATTGTTATCATTGACCAAAACCTCATAGTACACTGTAAATTGGCATGAAACATAGATAGATCGACACAGACATTGATGTTGCGTAAAATTATTTGTCCTTTATTGGATCGGATATGGATCCTTTTAACTGTTACATAGATTTGCGAGTGCAAAGTGACTTTAAAAAGCAATGCCAGCATTGCATTTTATAAGCTTGCGGGAAGTTGTTTTCTAATTCAGTTCGAGCCAGATTAAATGGGGACCTGATTAAAAGTAGCTTAAAAGGGGAAACAACTGGAGCAGGTGCCGGACCAAGAAGTACCAATAGTCGACAGTACGATAAGTTAACACACGCTAACGTTTTACTCGTTCTTTTCGCTTGTTTGCCTTTGGCAGGCATATAAAATCTTAAAGTAATACATATCAATAAATATTTTTACCTCGCCTCAAGATAAGATATGCCGCATTACTTTGTACGGCTGAATCGAATGCGAAGAATAATAGGAAATTTTTGTACTTATTCACTTAAATTTGGTAACGATGAGGCCAGTCGAGCTGGTTTATATAATCGAACAATTTTAGTTTGGTTAGTTGAAGTTGCTAGCGGAAATACGTAGCAAAGCATAAAATTGATAAGACAAGAAATTGGGGTTTATGTTTCTAAGGCCTGTGTTGCAACAAGTGTGTATTTTTTTCGGTGTATCTATATATGTTGACGCCCATTTAGTAAGCTTAAAAAAAGTTTTTTACCTATTCGCTATGTGACACAAATTGGCTAAGAAGGGTATATAAAGCAAATAATAATCTTGTGCAAATGTGTACACATACGACATAAGTCGGACGACTTTTGAAATATACCCTTGCAGAGGGTCACAAAATGTATGACGCAATGCAGAAGACATCCCCGACCCCAATAATACTATATAAAATATATGACAGAGTTCGCTGGATCAGGGCAAAAAGCACCTATGTGAACAATTGGTAAAAAATTGAGTTCTTAAAGACCTTTGCATTTCTTTTGAAGACATGCTAACTGAACTCGGCGACTGTGAGCATCACTATGTTCCTAAAATCTGAGCAAAAGCTAATCACGTAAATACTAAAATCTCTTTCTGTAAAAAAATCTCTAATCTGTCATATTATTCAAACAGAATTGAATCTTCGGTAGCTTGAACAACTGTTCTTTCTTGAATTCCATTCCAAGGTCCATTTTGCTACCTGTCTGTCCATATGAAGGCAATATCTCGACCAAGAATAGTTCAGTCGTTGCATTTAATTGTCATGCTCTTTCTTGGCCTAATATAAAATGTACATAAGTAAGCAAATTATTTTGTAATAAAAAGTTTATATTTACTATCAAGATAATGGCAAAAAGTTCTTAAATGAATTATAATTCGCGCTTTTTAAACTACAGGGTATCGCATAGTTAGGCACATTCGTTTAAGGAACCCCACACATGCACTTGGACTATCCGTGGTCGAAGCTAGCTATCAATATCGCTTGATCAAGCTGATAATATTTCGTTTTTAACCACATTGTCACTATAAGAGGGAAGCTCGTTCAATCTTTTAATTTTAGAATTTACAATATTTGATTATCCCATGAACGGAATAGCCAGATATTGTTTCTACCTTCTTAAACTCTTCACCTGATTGTTATTTATCAAAGGTAATGCCTATATCTTATCGCACGCAGTTTGCTGGTAACTGCCGCAGTAGAAGCATTTATTGATACCAGGCTATATACATATATATATACCAGGCTATATATATATATATATTCCACTATGTATATATAGTATATACATATGTAGAAAATTACGTGGTTTGATTTTGGGTTTTTACTTTTTTTTTATCAGCAATACGCTGACACGTTTGACGACCTTTTACACCTTTTTGGATTGCTGTTTGCTCAGTGTCAACGATGCAGTCTTCAGTTCGAGCATGGTGATAAGTAGTCGGTGAAGAGAGCTACCTTTTATTGTAAATTAACCCCACAAGAAACCATGTGCAACATATACATATCTGTCGTGATAATACAGAAACTCTCCTTATATACAACCTGTTAGCCCGATTCATCATATCTATGTGGGGCCTTAGCGTTATTCACTTGGCTCTATATATCCATGGCACATTCGTCATGAGGTCGTCATATCTCTGTGTATGTATGCGATATGCCACAGTCGATGTTTCCTACTATCGATAAGAGCGGCCAATCCAAATCCAGTTATCAGCTCCTCACACACACGCACACACACACGCGTGTTTTGTCAGAAAGATATTGCCTGAGTAAAAGGTAAAGTAAATAAAAAATTGTCGTCAGATAAGGCATATCATATAAAAAGCGATATCTATGAAAATATGTCATTATTTCGTTATTGAACTCCGAAGTGTTTAGTTCTCTGTTGCGTGTTGCCTTCCGTATACCTTTCATATGGCATATATATGTATTTATATATAAATATATATAGACTTCAACCTATATTGGTGATGTTTGGATTAAAGTGTAGTGTGTAGGAGTGTACGACTTAGAAAATGCACTGCAGAGTTTATTCCATTAATTATGTGCTTTTTTATGTACTCGATATATTTTGATCGGTGTGGATTGGCAAGTAGAATAGCAGGCTTATCACATGTACAATTCAACCTAGTGTGAGATTCTTCTATTCTACTTTCGACAAACACCAGTAAGCGTCTTTTTTATGAATTACCGAACGAATGCTACGAACCGAACGACAACCGCAGTAAGTTTACAATAACAGGCTTTGACTTTGGCATATATGTATATCGCACTTTGTGCGAGTATCTTATGTAAATAGAAAATAAAATATTTATCTTTTGCGGCATTCGCTTCATATCAGCGAAACGTTTGACTCATGCATTTCGTATGATAATGCTGTGGATGGGCGTGACTGGAATCGGAATTCTAAAAAGGGTTGGTACAAGAGATTGGCCTTTAATACAGGTAGATTAATAATAAAAAAACTTGGTTTTGTAAATCAAAAAGTTTCTTTTTCAACAAACAGAATATATTTTAAGAATCATTGACTGATTCGACTTTACACACTCATAACGCAATAGAAACATGTGACTTATCTGATCTTATCGATCCAGTGATTTGGGTTAGAAAAACACATAACCAAGTTTTATATAACCATGCTTGTGAAATCAATTTCCCGCCGCACGTATAAAGATAAGAAAAGTTTTTTGCGGCGCTTCGTATTGTTGGTTGACCTCACTTATTTTATAGATCAATTTATAAGACTTCGATAAGGAAATCCACTTGAAATGTTGGTGGTTTTAAGTATTTGTTATTTTTGTTACTGTGCAGTTAGTATCTTTTAACAGTGGACTGGTTATGTAAGCACATGGCTTTAGGACTATGTACCTAAGTAATACTTATGTTTGCCAATGAATATTATCACCTTATATGACATAATTTATTGCGCCCAAGTTTGCACTGCTGTCACGAAAGAAATATCTATCATAAGGACAGTTTTGTTAGAGATACCAACCCCTCATATTACAAATGTGTAAGTGCCTATATCCCTGTCATTTGTCTGTCTGATGCTGCTGCTGCTGCCGTTGCTGCTGGCTGTCGCACTCCCTTTTACTCTGACTGACTCTGCCCGTCAACATAATGAAAATGCAATTAATTTTTTCCAGCAATTTCTTTTTGCTCCCCCAAGTCAAAGCTGACACCAGCTCCAACTCTAACACCAGCTTTGACTGCGATCCCGATGCTGTTGCAATATTATGACTCCTGCTGTTTGCTCTGACAGCCACCCGGCCAGCCACCGGGGCATAGAAAAAAAAGCTGATGTTTATTGTGAAGCATTTTCTATGACGGCGGCACAACGATTGCAACGGCAGCCTGCTGCTTCTGCCCCAACCTCCAACCTGCT